AATTTACCTAGGAGAGACGGCAAGACAGCAAAGAAATGTCCACTTAAATAACATGACGATTTCCATCTTCAACAGAGTGAATACATGTCTGGTCTAGCTCCAACTGTAATCATTGCCTGGTGTTTTTTTTTTTTTTTTTTTTAATAAGACAACTGAGTGATTTAAAATCCAATTTTTCTTCTTTAGGGCTTTATCTATTTATCATTCATTTCTAAGTGGAAAATAAGTTAGGCAAGCATAAAGTATTGGTTATAAACTTAGCATATCAACAAAGCTCACGTGCAGAAATCCTCAACAATATAACAAAGACCAGAATTTGTTATTAGCCCGAAATAAATTTTCATGAGGAAGGATGAGGGTATCCAGCAGTGGAATTAGGATATGAGGTGGTTTACCTTGAATATCCTTCACACGTGCCACTCTGAGGACTAAAAATTTAATAAGAAGTTATTGGATTAAACTTTCTTCTTTGAAAACAGTGACAGAATTACATGGGCTCTGATCATAACCATCCGTTAAAAAGACATGTCAAGGGAACCAAGTGCCTTAAGACAATGTAAGACTTTGAGGCAGGGAAGTTTTATTATATGGACAAGTTTGACTATGGCTACAGCACAGAAGCGAGCAATCTTGGGTGAACACAGATGTCACCTTGTGCCCTAGGAAGAATTAGGGGCATCGCCTCTAGCAACTTAGCTAAAGGTGTTCTCTTAAGCTGGGAACCTCTATAAAAGACAAACTAAGGAGGAATTGGCTTTCAAATCCATAGGCTTAAGGACAAGACAGAGTTCTCCTAACAAAATGTTTTGCATGTATGCGTTGCCTTCATGGCCACCATGGTTTAACACGTACCACACCTCTTTAAAAACCTCAGGTGTTTCTCTGTTCTCTACACAGGAGGTGTTAAAGGTGCCACATCATGCATGAGTCAGCTATAGCTCAGAGAAGCAAAATATTTTGACTGGGGTAAAACGGGTTGAGCTGGTTTTCAAGAAGTCTGGCACACTTTACCATTCATGCTCAATCTTTGGAATCCTGTCCAAAGGAGTAGGGATATGAAGAGGAAGCCCAGAGAAATCTTACCTTCTTTCTTTCTTTCTTTCTTTCTTTCTTTCTTTCTTTCTTTCTTTCTTTCTTTCCTCCTTCCCTCTCTCTCTCCCTTTCTTTCTTCCTCTTTCTTTCTTTCTTTCTTTCTTTCTTTCTTTCTTTCTTGTTTCTTTCTTTCTTCATTTATGGATATAGTTACGATGTTTCAAGATGTACACCTAATCTCATGACTCACCCCTTAAGAAATAGGAGATAATAGGGCGCTTGGGTGGCTCACTTGGCGAAGCATCCGACTCTTGATTTCGGCACAGGTCATGATTTCGCGGTTCGTGAGTTTGAGCCCTGTGTCTGGCTCTGTGCTGACAGCTCGGAGCCTGGAGCCTGCTTCGGATTCTGTGTCTCCCTCTCTCTCTCTGCCCCTCCCCCGCTTGTTCTCTCTGTCTCTCTCAAACAAAAATTAAAAAAAAAAAAGTTGAAATGAGATGATCTCCCTTTTGTGTTCCAACCACGTACCCCCAATTCTCTGAACCATGTCTACATATCTTCACAGAGTCACCAGCAAGTTTGACTTTTATGTGCTCATGCACTATTCAAGAGCAGCCTGCTTCAGCCTGATTCCTGCCAGTATCTGAGTTAATGAAGTTGCCTTTTCATCTCCAAAGATAACTGTGGACCAAGCCCACAGGACCTGTCTCTTAGGAGCATTCCACTCAGCTGTCCATCCGCCCCTTGAGTCCATCCTTCCCTCCATGACTGGGAGCTCATTTTCCTACCTCATTGAATGGTTCTTTATGATCTTTTGATCTTTATGATCTCTGTCCATGGCTTTCTTCCCAATTTTTAACACTGGGGAGCTCGACTAGCTTGGTTTGGGACTTCTGGGCCCTTCCCTCCATCTACTCTGTAGGTAACTATATTCGTCCTCACGCTTTACATCCCATCTCTGTATGGGTTGATTTCCAAATTACTATGCCCAAGGGCCCCTTCTCTAAACTCCCATCTTATATAAGCACTTGACTTCATGGTTTCCCCAGAGTGTCATCCCACGAGATCTCCAACTTACCAACCCAGAGACAAAGCTTTGATTTTTCTCTCCAGACTTGGAGGAGGAGGAGGAGGAGGAGATAGAAGATAAAATAAAGGAGAAAAGCAAAGATGTGAGAACAGAGAATAGAAAATACACGCCAGGTTCAGTCCGTGAGTCCCATCCTTGGCTGGCTGGCCCAGGTGACAACCGGCCTCTTTTGTGGAAGTCTGCTTCTGTTGTGTTTCGGTTACTGTGAAACAACACAACCTCAGCACCCTTAATCATCACCTCCATGCACGTTGTTCCCTAATCAGATATCTGTGTCATGGCCTCTCCTCTTTGCCCCAGATTCACATTGACAAAAGTCTCCCAGATATTTCCAGCCAGCCACCCTGCCGGCACCTAAATTTCAACAAATCTCGAACCTAATTAATCATCCCATCCCCAATTCCAACCCTTCTCATGGGGCTCCCCCTTGTCTTAATGGCTTCATCATTTTTATAGTCAAGATGGAATCCTTTGGACTGATCTGTCATCCGTGCTGTGGTCATCCTACTATTTGCCAGCCAGCGGCGTTTTGCGGATGGACGTGCAGTGTCCAAGCCTGGCATTGACTGTGTCCTCAATAACATCTTCAAAAGACAAGTGGAACCCCTCCTTTGTTTCCTCACACAGGGCCCCTCATAAGAATCCTATATTCCCATTCCTGCTGATGTCTTCACCTTTCCCTCCTCAGCTCATGCTAAATGAAAATTTCCACATCATCCATCAAATGCCATTCTTGGGGGTTTCTTCTCCCTGCTTGTCCTCGTCGCTTGTTGGTTCCTTACTTCCCCATCCTTCTCTGTGGCCTTCTGGTCCTCCCTCTCCTCTGACACAGCTCTCCCTCTCCCCTCCACTCTCCTTCCTCCGCTCCCCTGGACTGTATCCTTCTCTTCCTTCTTCCCCCCACCTTGCCCTTTTTTGTACCCCCTCTGCCACCATCACTGCTGTTCTCTCCAAGATGTATCTGTGTTGGGTGCTTCCTCTGTTTCTCTCTCATCTCCTCAAAGGCCCTGCAAGATGGATGTTGCCCTTGTCGCTTGGTAAACAAGACGTCTGTGGAATGTGGGGTAGGTCCCCTCACTGACCCTCAGCCAGTTGCCCCGCAGCTCAACCAGTATCCATTGCTGAGTTGGGCGCCCTGATCATGGGTCTCCATGCTTTGTTGTTTCCATCAGCAATCACACAAATGGTACCATCTTGCATTTCATTTTTTTTTTTTTTTGTATTTTGTTAACTTTATTTATCTTGAGAAAGACAGAGTATGACCACTGAAAGGGCACAGAGAGAGAGAAGGAGAGAGAGAATTCCAAGCAGGATCTGCACTGTCAGCACGGAGCCCCACCCAGGGCTCAGTCCCATGAACCGTAAGACCATGACCTGAGCCGAAACCAAGAATCAGACACTTAATGGACTGAGCCACCCAGGCGCCCCCTCAGGTACACGATCTTGAATTTCAAAGTGAGTTTGAAATGTTACAGGAGGTCACGTTCGCCACCTTCCTCTGCTCAACTTCACAGAAAAACTCCTCAATCACTGTTGAAATTCACTAACTTCCCTTTTCTCTCCTTTATGTTCTCTTGAGTGCATTCCTATTGACTATTATCCCCATGACTGGACTGAGCCACTTGTTGGACAATTTGTCCAACGATCTCTTCGAGGACAAACTCATCGGTCATCTCTTGGCATTCCTTGTCCACATCAGTGCTGATTTACCAACTTTCTCCTCTAGTCTTTTTGCAAACTGCTGGCCCACCTCATTTGCTTCCATTCATTCATTCAATAAAGACAAACTTTATTAATAAAAGTCAACCCTTCTCTGCATCACCTCCACCCACCAGAACAAATGCACTTTCTCTTTCCAGCAAAGATATAGACACGTCTCATGGGGCGCCTGGGTGGCGCAGTCGGTTAAGCGTCCGACTTCAGCCAGGTCACGATCTCACGGTCCGGGAGTTCGAGCCCCGCGTCAGGCTCTGGGCTGATGGCTCGGAGCCTGGAGCCTGTTTCCGATTCTGTGTCTCCCTCTCTCTCTGCCCCTCCCCCGTTCATGCTCTGTCTCTGTCTGTCCCATAAATAAATAAAAACGTTGAAAAAAAAATTAAAAAAAAAAGATATAGACACGTCTCTAAGACGGATGCGTCACATTTGGCTTCCCACCTATTGGATGTGTTGTCTTTTCCACTGAATTTTTATCCTCTAGGGGCCAAAGCTGATGAATTTTGCTGTTTCTCACAGTCTGCAGCATATGGAAAACTCTCACTAAATATTTGTTAAATGGATAATAAAAGAGAGAGTGGATTTTATCATTTCTCACTGTGTACGCCTAACATCTCTACTTCGCTTAATAAAATTCACAAGAGAGTGGATTGTCACTTTCACGGTTAGTTTTTATCTTCAAGATAATAACAGTAGCTGCATGATTCCAATTCCAGTCAACAGCCAACTTTTTAAAAAATCATTTCTCATGTTATTTAAGTTGCTCTAATGAGTTTGAAAATTCTATTTCAGGTTGCAAATGAAAAATTTAATCACTGCTCTTTGGTTTGGAGTATCTCCATTGGTGTCCCTAGTTTATTCTGTACAAATGCGGTCCTTTGATATTGTGATGCAGGGAGTGAGGACATTTTTTTTTACCGTGTCCTCTCTGCTTGGGGAGCTCAAAGTCCCTAAGTGACACGTGTCCTGACTGTGTCTACCACCTGCATGGAAACCTTTACTCCTTGCCTGTTGCCTGTGGAGTAAAACCCAAAACATTTTCACCTGCTGCTACGTGTCTGGGGAAAATTCTCATTTCGGTTATTTGTAACTGAGTCTGAACTCGGTTCGCACTTCGACTCACATTCACTTTCCTGATTCTATCATTTCCACTTGTGTATCACAGAGTCGAGAACCTAAGCGTTTCCAAGAACTGTGTGTATGGGCTTTTATTGACCAGGAATGGCCCCTTCATATCCTATGTCGTCAAATCCAAGATGCTTTTCAAGGTCAACTCACTCAATCACTCTTACTGGGTAAAGTACTATTCCCACTGAAATCACTCGTTTTCTCTTATTGATTGCTATGGGCTCATAGCTGAAGACACCACACCCACAGCCTGTAGGATCTTAATGGTTTTTACACCACATGGCATTTGTGCAGAGAGGGACACGGCTGATTTTGTTTCATTTTGACTGCCTCAAATAATTCATTTGCATTTTTTTAAGTTTATTTATTTTGAGAGCAAGACAGCATGTGAGAGAGGAGGGCCAGAGACAGAGAGGGAGAGAGAGAATCCCAAGCCCGCTCTGAGCTGTCAGCACAGAGCCCAACACGGGGCTCAAACTCACGAACCATGAGATCATGACCTGAGCCAAAATCAAGAGTGGGCCATTCGACCGACTAAGCCACCCAGGTGCCTGGTAATTTTGGTTTTAATTTCATTAAAACACAGTGTGTTTGCCTTCAAAAGTCTTCATCATTAATGCCATTGGATGGCTGTATTTTGGGGAGAGGAAATGTGAAATACTGAGTTAGGATCCAAGCACACAGTCAGGGCTCTGTCAGTCTGTAACTCATGGAGAATAAGTTACCCCCAACAGTTAATGGTTGACCTTACACTGATTTCCTGCTAGGTCCTCACAGATACAAGGATGCCCCAATAACACGTGTCGCTGGCAAAGCTGTTGATCTCTAGGGCATTTTTTTTTTTTAGTGCATTATATTTTTAATTCCTCTGCCACTCCATGATACTGGTTTGCATTTTTATTTCTCAGGTGAAGACTTGCAAATCAATCAGAGCATTAAGTGGATCTCCAGAAGTTTCACAGCAATTTAGAAATGAAACCAAGATTTAATACCAGCCTGCTTAAAAAGTATGTATTCGACAGGAAGTGAAGTTATCATGTGATTTATTTATATTTTGGTATCACGTTGTCTAAATGGTTGCGATACATAATGAAAACACTGCCTTTACACAACAGGAGAGGTCAAACATTTCTATAAAATATATATTTTTTAATTTTAAAAAATGTCCTTCAAAATATCCATCATCATATGGGCACTCGGTTAAGCATCTGACTCTTGATTTCAAGCCCCACGTGGGGCTCTGCACTGACAGTGTGGTCCCTGCTTGGGATAAGTACATTTATAGTGACTTAAAAACCTGTGAAACCCACCCACAATTATACCTTTGCATGTAACAAAAAGAAATGTATTTATGTACGTATGCATTATACTTACGTATATGTTTAAATATCACTTCTTTTTAATGTTTATTTATTTTGAGAGACAGCAAGCACAAACAGGGCAGGGACAGAGAGAGGGAGAGACAACGCCAAGCTCGAGCACAGCCTTGAACCCATGAACCGTGAGTTCGTGACCTGAGCTGAGATCAAGAGTTGGGTGCTTAACCAGTTGAGCCAGCCAGGGGCCCCTAAATATCACATTTTTAATTTAATTTTTTTTAACGTTTATTTATTTTTGAGACAGACAGAGACAGAGCATGAACGGGGGAGGGTCAGAGAGAGGGAGACACAGAATCCAAAACAGGCTCCAGGCTCTGAGCTGTCAGCCCAGAGCCCGACGCAGCGCTCGAACTCACGGACCGTGAGATCACGACCTGAGCCAAAGTCGGCCGCTCAACCAACTGAGCCACCCAGGCGCCCCTAAATATCACGTTTTTATAACCATTGTCACAGTTGCAAGTTGTGGAGGCTTTGATCATATTATAATTCAAGATGAATTATATCTATATAATATGTATATTTATGTGTATATGTATTACAAATTAACATTACATATTACATAATACAAATATATTATGTATATACTTATATATATTATATAAATTACTTATATAGCATATATACACGCCATAAAACCTTGGTTTGCAAGAATAATTCGTTCCAAAAACATGCTTGTAATCCAAAGCACTTGTGTATCAAAGTGAATTTCAAGAACATTGGCTCATTTGTAATCACGTGACATTGGGCATCACGTACCACTCGTTAATGCGAGACATCTCTCGGTCATCAAGTTAAAATGTATTAGAAATGTTTGCTCGTCTTGGGGAAGGAACACTCGCAGAACAAGTCACTCACAATCCAAGGTTTTACTGTATATATAAATGATAAATACATATGAATATTTAGGTGTCGCTTGTAATTTACTTTGTGTCTGCTGACATTTAATATTCTTTAGTATGATCATAAGCAACACAGAGCAAGACAAGTTCACCCACCTTAAAAATACTACCAAATGGGGATGCCTGGTGGCTCAGCCGGTTAAGCGTCCAACTTTGGCTCAGGTCACGGTCTCACACTTTGTGAGTTTGAACGCCGTGTTGGACTCTATGCTGACAGCTCAGAGCCTGCTTGGGATTCTCTCTCTCTCTCTGTCTCTCTCAAAAATAAACATTAAAAAAAAAAAAACTACCAAGGGTCTGTGTGAACTCTGACATCCATCCTCTCTGAGGACATCCCTGTGTCTGGCCATGTGCTGACAGCTCAGAGCCTGGAGCCCGTTTCAGATCCTGTGTCTCCCTCTCTCTCTGCCCTTCTCTCATTCATGCTCTGTCTCTCTTTCTCTCTCTCTCAAAAATAATTAAATATTAAAATAAACAAATAAAATAAACACTTATCACCTACCGAGAATATTTGCTACAGGACCACACCGTATCACTATCCCCCCATTGTCATCCAGGGTGCCATGTCGATGATGCACACCGTGCAGCAGATGGGAAAAATCCTCATGCAACTTAACAACATGCTCACGTTTTCCTGTAGTTCTGCCGAAACACAACTTTGTGAGAGCTCCCTCCGTTACCGCCAAGGTAAGCCACACCTGCTACAAAAGCATAGCTCCTATGTCCGCAAAGTCTCTGGTAGCCTTGAACGTCTGATTCTCCTTCTGGAAACATCCTGTACAGACTAGAGTATAGGTGGGTGCGTGTGTCTTTTCCTTGGGTTTTTGGATTTTTGTTGTCATTGGGAGGATGCTACAATGAGCTGGTGTTCCCGGAGCTGTATCTGTAGGAATTCTTGGAGGGTTGCATTTGAAATATGTGCTGCTCAACAAAAATACTGTTTCTACCAAACTCCCGGAGGACCAACCAATTGAGAATTATTTCTTTTTATTTCTTTTTTATTTTTTTAAATGTTTATTTGTTTTTGAGAGAGAGAGAGAGAAAGACAATACAAGCTGGGGAGGAGCAGAGAGAGAGACACACACAGAATCCGAAGCAGGCTCCAGACCTAGCTACAAACACAGAGCCCCACACGGGGCTCAAACTCACGAGCCGTGAGATCGTGACCTAAGGTGAAATCAAGAGTTAGACGCTCAACCTCCTGTTCTGTAAAGACCATCATCCACTTTTTGTTACTAATGACAACCTTCGTCTCTCAGGAGTGGCTGGAAACGCTCCCTTCTAGCTTTCATATTTGGGGAACACTTCTTCGTGTCCTCCTCAAGGCACTTGGGGGTCATTTTTTCCTTCCCTGTCAAAGTTTACAACAATAACTTACAGTGTGGAACATGGCGTTTTGTGACCAGCCATTTTTCCTGCATCTCTTTAAAAACTTCCAGACTTTTGAGGGCAGGAGGTTGGGAACTCCGACCCAAGCCAGAGGAGGTACATGCCCATCACACTCAAGATGAACACACAATCCAAAGAGAAAGCTCATAGGCCAATGGTCCATGTTGCTGCAATTTATATTTTCGCTCTAATACATACCCAGTTTTAATATAGGATCCATGTTGATTAACAGACTCAATGTGTATTCTCAAATGTATAATAAAATAGAAAGAAAAGCCATAAACTGTGCCAAAAATTGATATGCCATCAAGCCCAGTGGCTCCGGGCATTAAAAAAAAAAAAAACTAAATCATGAATATTTCTTATTCAATTCTCTTGGGCTGAGCAATGCATAACCAGCTTCTCTACAGATTAGATAAAAAAAAAAACATTGGATGGATATACTGAATTCAGCTAAAACATTATATTCTAATGCATGTGCCATTTGAGATACATCTTACTCTTTTTATACAGACTGAGTCCCTGCCTTTTATTATTCTTTTAATAACATCAGATTACCGTGGCCACAAATCAACTCGTGAGACCATAAGCAAATTACTGAACTATTACTATTTTTTAAATTTATTTTGAGTGTGGAGGAGATTGAAGAATATTCACAGGCTGGTTCAGAACTACATTCAAATAAGCCATCAGTGAAGGCTGGGCGTATCAGACAAGCTCTCAGTGCTTCGTCTGTACGCCTTCAACTTGTCAGAATACTTGAATACCCTTTCCTTTCATAATAAACTGTCCCAAAGGTCATGGAGCGGGATAAAAAAAAAAACACGTGATAAATGTTCTCATCTTTTGCATTGCAATGGAAAGTATTCACTGAGCTTCACGGAGACTGAAAACTTAGCCCATGGCTTTTATACTGAATTTCTGGTCTCCTGTTTTTGTTATTGACATTTGATAATAGCAAAGAGAATAGCACTGATACTATTTACCTTAAGATGTTCCATTAGCAGACACACCCACGGAATTAGCTTTGTAGAGCCCTGTCCCCACGCACTGCCCCATCCTCTCTGGAGGGAATCAAGTGCTCTCCAAAAGACATCGTTTTTCCAGTTAGGCGTTTAGGGGATCGGTGTCCTTTTAGAAGCTCCCCCCAATCTCAGAATGTGGCGTATTTATTTACAGTGACACTCTCACAGTTAAGTCGCGCCCTCGTGTTTAGTGAGGGGCGAACATTTTCACAGAGTGACCCAGTGTCTTTGGAGAAACAACCCCAAGGAGTCAGGAAATTTAAGTCGGGTGGTACGATAGCAGACACTGAGCGTGTCAGGTTCATGGGGAATGTAGCAACAGCAAGGAACCAGCAGGTGCTGGGGATATGCCGGGTCAGAGTTTGCACAGACACGACCCTGTCGGTTCTGTTCTAACTTGATTAGAAAACCCTTAATCAAATACTGATAAGCAAAGTCCTTAAAGCAAAACGCTGACTTCAATATACGGGGTAACCTCTCCTACAATAGCCAGTGAGAAGACCCTTTCTTGTTATGAAAAAAAGTATATTATTCTTTTTTGCTTTGCCTAAAATTTGCATGGGTGATAACGCTATTTCTAGCGCCCACATCGCCGGGTACCTGTTCCTTTGCCATTTGCAAGATTTTCCCCGGGCTGTCAGAATACCTGGAAGGATTCTCTAGCAAGGAGAATCTCTAGCCTTCCAGAATACCTGGAAGGATTCTCTAGCAAGGAGAATCTCTAGCAAAAAGAGGCTATGTCCAGAATGAGAAAAGCGACTCTGTAAAGAGAGCACAACAGACACATTTAGAGTACGGAGGTGTAGAGGGTATATACTGTTTTCAGAAATCAGTTTCTATTTCTGATTAATGACCTCCCTGTTCCCCAGATGGATGCGTATGTAGTTTCGGTTACCCGTTAGGGCTCAGATGATTCTCCTGACCTCTGTGATCTTTTTTTAAAAATGTTTCTTGGTTTACCTTGAGGGGGGTGGAAAGGCAGAGAGAGGGAGAGAGAGAATCCCAAGCAGGCTCCCTGCTGTCGGCGCAAAGCCTGACGCGGGGCTCAGTCCCACGACCGTGAGCCCAAGTCAAGAGTCAGTGGGTCAACCCACTGAGCCACCCCGGTGCCCGCTCAGTCTGTCCTCTCTGATCTTGATTCTTAACGTAATCCATTCTGAAACAGAATGGGAAGTGGCATCAGTTTTCCTTTTGTTGTTTCATTCCCGAGTTCTCCCGGTAGAGGTAGATGTAGTTATGAGGGGCAGCCATATGAGGACATAGTTTTTTTTTGTTTTTTAATTTTTTTTTTCAACATTTATTTATTTTTGGGACAGAGAGAGACAGAGCATGAACGGGGGAGGGGCAGAGAGAGAGGGAGACACAGAATCGGAAGCAGGCTCCAGGCTCCGAGCCGTCAGCCCAGAGCCCGACGCCGGGCTCGAACTCACGCGAGATCACGCGAGATCACGCGAGATCACACGAGATCACACGAGATCACGCGAGATCGTGACCTGAGCCGAAGTCGGATGCTTAACCGACTGTGCCACCCAGGCGCCCCTAGGACATATTTTTTTAATCCTAGGAATTGGCTAAGATAAAGTGGGCCCCTCAGGCCATTCAAAAGGCGGAGGCAAATCGAAGGGAAGTAGATCGTTTGTGGGGAAATGTAACGATGCCTTTGGGTCGGGCACTACGCAGTGTTGTCTCTTGAATGGAAGCCTCCGAACATGGAAAGAAGCCTTCCTGATGTTTCCGTTTTCCGTGAGCTACCACTTGACCTTATTAATATTCCCTTATAGTCTCTGTGGAGCTGGTCTTTTGAAGGAATTTATATTATGAATTATTCCCTCCGGATACTTTCTGAGATCAAGGAAGGTGTCAGGATACTGTCGACAGCGACTACCTGCTTCCTATACGTGTTACTCTGCTGTGGCTGCTATAAGAGAAACCGGGGGCTTATGAACAAGGGACACTTACTTCTTACAGTTCTGAAGGCTGGATGTCCACGATCAAGGCACCTGCAGATGGAGTTTCTGCTGAGGGCCTTGCTTCCGGGTTCATGGACGACATCATCTCACGGCACCGTCCTATGATGGAAAGGGCGGGGGGCTTTCTGGAGTGTCTTCTAAAAGGACACCTAATCCCACCATGGGGACTCCACCCTAAAGTGGAAGGAATCCCGCCCCACTGGCTAACACCATCGCCTTGGGGGTTAGGATGCCAACATACGAATTTTGGGGAGGGGGACACAGGCATTCAAATACAGATATTTACCAACATATATTTACCATGTACCCACTACTTGGGTAGGTAGAGACTGTTCCACAAGGTCTCTGTGCTCACTGACTTTATATTTGAGGTTGATTCTCGGTAAACAATAAGGAAAACACACCGGTGTTGGAAATCACCATACACAGCATGACTTTAATAAGCAGGATGAGGGGTCCGTAACTGGAAGGAGAAGGTATATGCAGGGGCCACTGGTGATCATGGGTCTGTCCATGTGAGCCCACACTCACCTCACTAGCCATACAACATGTGTAGACACCAAGCAGGTTCGAGGCCAGATTTGCATCCATTGTACCATGGGAGCATTTGAGCTGAGAATGCAGATCCCTCCAGGCCCCTTAAGAGAAACATCGTTAATCATCTGAAGCAGTCACTTCTCTTTTCACAGGTGCCTCCAAGTAAATGACTATTTATTCCCTCAGCTGATGGATATCAATGAATCCAGAGACACCACCCCCATATGGCCCCAGTGTCAAACATATTCCATCGTGACTTGCAGAGAAAAATCATATGCAGGGACAAAGTCGCAAGGGAGATCCAAAGAAGCCCATCCTTCTAGAGCCTTCAAGAGGCCAAGGTGCTCCCACATTTCCATGGCTGCAGGGACACAGGAGTAATTGTGAGTTCAGCTAGTCACGCCAGGAATGACATGGAAGCATCGCGCCTTCTGGCTTATGGACCTACCTCCTGCCCACTGAGAACTTCCTTCAGACCAGACAACTTTCTCATCAGCCAACAAATCCACCATACTCTCCGGGAAGGGTGAAGAAATGATACCCCCAAGATTTATTACAGAGCATTACTTATATAATTTGTTGGGCAAATAAAAAGAAACGAAAAAGAAAAAGGAACAATGATAGAGACAGTCTCCCTGGATTTCCTTTCTTCCTTCCTTTCTTTCTTTCTTTCTTTCTTTCTTTCTTTCTTTCTTTCTTTCTTTTTCTTTTTTTACTTTTATGATTTTTACTTTAAAAGTCATTTCGAAGACATCCCCTTAGGTAA